AGTGCTTTGTTACGCATTCACTGAAAATTTCATGATGATCCGATGAAAATTGACAAAGTTATCCTGAAATAACACATTTTTCATGATTCCAAATATTACGTTTCTAAGTTAGAAAGCCGGCGCATGCGCCTCGATGTTTCGCGCATGAAAATTGTCGGTTTTAGGCCGAATCACAATATTTTTAGGCGAAAATGATTGGTTTTCTCAATAATTTTAATATTTACCCTTCTTACTGTTCACTATGAGCATTACCTAAAGATTACCAGTGCTTTCTTACGCATTCACTGAAAATTTCATGATGATTCGATGAAAATTGACAAAGTTATCCTGAAATAACACATTTTTCATGATTCTAAATATTACGTTTCTAAGTTAGAAAGCCGGCGCATGCGCCCGGACCGTTTCGCGCATGAAAATTGTCAGTTTTAGGCCGAATTTATTGACCCGCCTTTTCTCGGCCTTTTGGCTAACAGTTTAGACAGTTGTAGACAGCGAATCAAAATTTAAAAATACCAATATTAACGTGAATAACCGATGCATTTTATCATTTCTTTTTTTATGAGGAAGCTCTTTGCCAATAAATTGGCAGCGGTTTTTAATTAAATACATAAGGGGAATAATTTTCCGTTTATAGAGTTATGATTTTTTGTGAGAAGTTACATCCTGTCGACTCAATCTGTCAAAAGCAAAATATTACTGAACTCATTATCAGGTGAATTCTCATTAAAACCCTCATGAAAAAGAATGGGTTTGATCATAATTTTACTGCCTTACACACGTATTTTTAAACTATTATGCCCAAGCAAGAAAGAAATTCAGTAGTTTAAAATGTAGTAGTCAAATTTAGTAGAAATTTAGTATTTTTCTCGTAGTCGAGTTGAGTACTCATCATTATTGGTCATCGACATTTCAAATTGATTTGTTAGTGACATTAACTTCCGCGATTGAAAATTTTCGACACTGTCTTGACACTGAACACGAGACAATACAAACTGATCACCGAACACGTGGTGGAAGCTACGACTGCACTGACATTTGAAAGAGAAAGTAATCTAACCCCGCTTTTCGTGTTAAATCTCATAGACTGCATCACAGTGTGCGTCAGTGTCTCTTTCTATAAGAAAGCATGTTAAAAACGATGGCAGCGTCAAATCTCGAGCATACCATGGTTTGACCGTGCACAGCAACGAACATTTCGGTTGAGGCGATTGTCTTTTGAATACTGGGAAAATTAAATTCGAAGGATTAAAATTGGATTGGTAAAAGTACTATTTTTTATTGAAACTTTTATCGAAAAAAAACATTTGTTTAAGCATCCATACATATTTACAAATGTCAAGAAAAAACCAGCGCATATATAATTGGAAGAGTTCGAGACGTCAAGTTTAGTATCACGTAGTAGACTTCAAGAAGTATCATTATGATAAACATAGGCTGGGTGCGTCGGGAGAGAAGGGATACAATAATCGATCGCAGCGCGAGGTGCGGCCAAAATGTAAAACATCGCGTCCCCACTTGTACGTAAAAGGTATAAGAGGAAGTATATTAAGTTATCTGAATAATCATAATTTTCACTTTTAATAAGTTAAAACTTGTGTTTTTCAATTGCTTGAACTTTGATTTTCACGCCTAAGTATCAACTGTCACACTTATTCATATTTTTCTCTAGCATTATATCGATTAATTTGTTAGCTTGACAGCTGGCTGAGTGTTTTTTATCACAATCGTCTGCTCACTCGCTCAGTATTGACATTTTGTATTACTCGCTCGCACGTGTTAACATACCAAACGGCTTCAAAATGCCGCGCAATCGAAAGTGTTGTGTTATCGGCTGTGGAAATACTAAAAAAACATCTTCTGACATTATATTATACAAATTTCCTGCTGGCGAGTTTGCTAATGAACAGAAACAAGCGTGGATAAAAGCGGTTAAATTACAAAAGTGAGAGTAACCTTACTTTGAAGTATTTTAAAATCAGTTATTATTTAAAGTTTTTATAAATCTCTAAAATCAGCTCTGACGGATCTCGGTGGTCACCTTCTAATTACGATGTTATATGCAACGCTCACTTTATTGGAAAACAAAAAAGTATCAACAAATTCAGCCCCAGTTATGTGCCAAAAATATTTCCTGGACAAAGAAAAAAAATCGATGAAGCAGCTGAAATAAACAGGTATGATTATCAATAACTCATTCGTAGTCTTTTTAATTTTATGTATGATTTGAAATTTTGTTTTAGATTCACTAGATTTATGAAGCGACGAAATTACGATTCGAGTGACCCAACGATTAAGAAAAAAAAAGTAGATGCAGCTCGAGAGAACGATGCAAGTACAAGCACCTGCAATGAAACACCGGACGACTCGGTCACTGAAAACCAAGCTTTGATGCAAAACTATCAAGATGACAATGTAATCAACGATTCAATTTTCCTTCAAGAAATTTCGCAGTCAAATCAAGAGTGTCAAGTTGACATGTTACTGCTTAATGATTCGGAAATGCCTCTTGATAATTCGAAAACGTTCGTGTGCATTAGATACGTAGAAAATAATGTTCGCCATGCTGAAATTCAGACAAATATTAATATATTACCAAAAATTGTAGTTAGAAATCAAAAAAAAGTTAGCGACAAGAAGGTTGGAACACAAAAAAAAGAATACGCAGATATTGGCGTAGGTTGTAATTTTGATGAAACATTACAAAAAGGTTTCGTTGGAATGAAATCAGTTCAGACAAGTGACCAATTAATTGACCTTGCTGGAATTTCTGTGGATAATTTTAAAATTTTTTCAGAGAAAATTTATCCATATGAGAGTATCAATCAAAAGATATCCACCGAAGATAAATTATTAATTTTTTTTATGAAATTAAAAACCGGATTGTCTTTCTCNTTCACTAATAGTATTACCTACAGATTTTGATGGCTTTGATACGTATTTACTGTAATTTTCATGAAGGTCGTATGAAAATTGACAAAGTTATCTTTAAATAACACATTTTTTATAATTCAAAATATTACGTTTCTAATTTAGAAAGCCGGCGCATGCACCCTGATTGTTTCACGCATGCGCATTGACCGTTTTAGGCCAAATTTACTTACCCGCCTTTTCTCGGCATTTTGGCTAACAGTTTAGACAGTATTAGACAGCGAATCAAAATTTAAAAATACCAATATTCACGTGAATAACCGATGCATTTTATTATTGCTATTTTTATGAGGAAGCTCTTTGCCAATAAATTGGTAGCTGTTTTTAATTAAATACGTAAGGGGAATTATTTTCCGTTTATAGAGTTATGATTTTTTTTGAGAAGTAACATTCTGTCTACTCAATTTGTCAAAAGCAAAATATTACTGAACTCATTATCAGGTGAATTCTCATTAAAACCCTCATGAAAAAGAATGGGTTTGATCATAATTTTACGACCTTACACACGTATTTTTAAACTATTATGCACAAGCAAGAAATAAATTCAGTAGTTTAAATTTTAGTAGTTAAATTTAGTAGAAATTTTGTATTTTTCTCGTAGTTGAGTTGAGTACTCATCGTTATAATTCATCGACATTTTAAATTGATTTGTTAGTGACATTAACTTCCGCGATTGAAAATTTTCGACACTGTCTCGACACTGAACACGAGACAATACAAACTGATCACCGAACACGTGGTGGAAGCTACGACTGCACTGACATTTGAAAGAGAAAGTAATCTAACCCCGCTTTTCGTGTTAAATCTCATAGACTGCATCACAGTCTCCGTCGGTGTCTCTTTCTATAAGAAAGCATGTTCAAAACGATGGCAGCGTCAAATTTCGTGCATACAGCCTTAAACACATGGTTTGACCGTACACAGCAACGAACATTTCGGTTGAGGCGATTGTCTTATGAATACTGGGAAAATTAAATTCGAAGGATTAAAATTGGATTGGTAAAATTACTAATTTTTATTGAAACTTTTATCGAAAAAAAACATTTATTTAAGCATCCATACATTTTTACAAATGTCAAGAAAAAACCAGCGCATATATAATTGGAAGAGTTCGAGACGTCAAGTCTAGTATCACGTAGTAGACATCAAGAAGTATCATTATGATAAACATAGGCTGGGGGCGTCGGGAGAGAAGGGATACAATAATCGATCGCAGCGCGAGGTGCGGCCAAAATGTAAAACAGCGCGTCCCCACTTGTACGTAAAAGGTATAAGAGGAAGTATATTAAGTTATCTGAATAATCATAATTTTCACTTTTAATAAGTTAAAACTTGTGTTTTTCAATTGCTTGAACTTTGATTTTCACGTCTAAGTATCAACTGTCACACTTATTCATATTTTTCTCTAGCATTATATCGATTAATTTGTATTGACATTTTGTATTACTCGCTCGCACGTGTTAACATACCAAACGGCTTCAAAATGCCGCGCAATCGAAAGTGTTGTGTTATCGGCTGTGGAAATACCAAAAAAACATGTCCTGACATTATATTATACAAATTTCCTGTTGGCGAGTTTGCTAATGAACAGAAACAAGCGTGGATAAAAGCGGTTAAAATACAAAAGTGAGAGTTTAACCTTACTTTGAAGTATTTTAAAATCAGTTATTATTTAAAGTTTTTATAAATTTCTAAAATCAGCTTTGACGAATCTCGGTGGTCACCTTCTAATTACGATGTTATATGCAACGCTCACTTTATTGGAAAACAAAAAAGTATCAACAAATTCAGCCCCAGTTATGTGCCAAAAATATTTCCTGGACAAAGAAAAAAAATCGATGAAGCAGCTGAAATAAACAGGTATGATTATCAATAACTTATTCGTAGTCTTTTTAATTTTATGTATGATTTGAAATTTTGTTTTAGATTCACTAGATTTATGAAGCGACGAAATTACGATTCGAGTGACCCAACGATTAAGAAAAAAAAAGTAGATGCAGCTCGAGAGAACGATGCAAGTACAAGCACCTGCAATGAAACACCGGACGACTCGGTCACTGAAAACCAAGCTTTGATGCAAAACTATCAAGATGACAATGTAATCAACGATTCAATTTTCCTTCAAGAAATTTCGCAGTCAAATCAAGAGTGTCAAGTTGACATGTTACCGCTTAATGATTCGGAAATGCCTCTTGATAATTCGAAAACCTTCGTGTGCATCAGATACGTAGAAAATAATGTTCGCCATGCTGAAATTCAGACAAATATTAATATATTACCAAAAATTGTAGTTAGAAATCAAAAAAAAGTTAGCGACAAGAAGGTTGGAACACAAAAAAAAGAATACGCAGATATTGGCGTAGGTTGTAATTTTGATGAAACATTACAAAAAGGTTTCATTGGAATGAAATCAGTTCAGACAAGTGACCAATTAATTGACCTTGCTGGAATTTCTGTGGATAATTTTAAAATTTTTTCAGAGAAAATTTATCCATATGAGAGTATCAATCAAAAGATATCCACCGAAGATAATTTATTAATTTTTTTCATGAAATTAAAAACCGGATTGTCTTTCTCAGCTTTGAGTGTGATATTTCAAGTACATCGAACAACAATTTCAAGGATTTTTTATTGTCTTTTAACATATATAGCTTCTGCTACTCGAAACTCAATACCATGGCTTGATAAGGATACTATTCAAGGAACAATGCCATCCTGTTTCAAACCTAATTACATCAACACGAGGGTGATTATTGACTGCACCGAGTTTCCTATAGAAGTACCACGATCGATAGAAAATCGTATACACACTTACTCTCATTACAAAAAAGGGTTCACGGCTAAAGTTCTAATTGGATGTGCACCCAATGGGCTTATTACTTTCAAATCAGCAGTGGCTGGTGGGAGAAAAAGCGATTCCCAAATTACTGTCGAAAGTGGCCTTTTAGATTTGTTGGAAAGTGACGATGTAATATTAGCCGATAAGGGTTTTCCAGAAGTGAAAACTAAAATAGACGAGAGTGGGAAAAGAGTCCTGCTTGTAATGCCTCCTTTTTTAAGAGATCATGAGTTCACTGAAGAAGAATGTGCAAAGACTTACAGCTTTGCAAATGTCAGAATTCATATCGAACGAATAATGCAAAGAATAAAATTGTTCAACATTTTCAACAAGGTCCCGGCTCATTTATTCGATAAAATTGACGATATTCTTCACGTTTGTTATGTAGTATGTACTAGTAAATTTACAGCCTCCAATTATTGCTACAGAAGAGAGCTTAGAAGAAAGTTATTGTGATTAAAATCATTACATTAAAATTATCGTGATTGTATTAAGAAAATTGAACATAAAATAAAAAACAATATTTATTCACATATGTTTACTTAAATATTATGAACATGAATATATACATATAAATATATAAATATATTATTTGAAGTATGCGTATACATATTTCCATTTCATCCTGGTATTTTTTGTACAACGGGGGTAATAAATTTTTAAAATAAAAGTGCTCAGATTGAGCAATAATGTTTTTTAAAAATTGTTCATCATAATGTACTTCGACCGTCACACTTTGACGTGGAGAATAAACAAATAGGTCACAGACGGTTAAACCGCATACGTATAATTGTACCTGACACTGTGTATAATACTTGTGAGTTACCCTTAGTTCTAAATTATTATTAACAAAAGTAAGAAACTTTACATTACATTTTTTTTTATCAAAATCAACGATGTTCTTATTTTGACAGGAGCTTGGACACTTGATCTCTACTATTTTAATGATGCAATCATCTTTGATAACAACGCCGTCCAGACTAGCACACAACCAGGGATTTTTTTCTTTAATTAAAACACCTACCGAGATGACCGTGACGTCATTCAATTTTTCATATTCCAATAATGCCGGTTTTTCATTTTTTAATCCATATCGAAGGGATGGGGTCGATATGTTCTTTGGATGTAGTATATCATTAACTAAAGACTCGGTAGCTTTCGTTGTTAAAGATTTCATAACTTGTCTTGGTCAAGCTTTGATTGCTGTTTATATAAACAATCAAAGCGGCAACATGCTTGCACTTGCCGCTCTTATTCGCGGCACATTCACATGAGACCTTCTCTACATGTCGATTCTTGTCGATCTACATACAAATAAACAATGAAACTAACCTATGCACGAAATAAATATGAAAATTTGTTTCAAAATGTATACTTGCATATAATATGACTTTATGAGGAATCGACGAAGGTTCAGTTTGTCTTACTACTCGGGCTTCAATATGCGAGCTCAGTCCATCAGAACGGTATTCTTTGACATGGGATACGTGTTGACTTTCAACCAAACTTTCACCTTTTTTAGGACCTTGAGGATTGAAATTAATTGAGTGGGTTATTTTTTCAAATTCGGTTTGTATAACCATGTCCATATTGTATTTATTATCATAACTTATGATAAATATTAATGAAAAATACGAAAACTTTGCTTAACTTCCTATGCTGTCAATGTTAAAATACTTGTATACGAGGACGCGCTGTTGACATATTTGAGCCACGAGGTGGCGCGACATGACTTGCACCCGGCCTATGGTTTAATCGTTTAATTATGTAAAAAACCTTAAAAAATTATATATTTCGATAGTTAATATTCTAGAATTTAGTTGTAGTATTCATAATATTATAATCTTCACTTTTTTCGTGAAAAATTCGTTTACGATCTGTCAAATTGATTCTTATTTTGTACATCTGTTCACATATTTACAAGCGAACGACTTGACCCTACGAGCAAATCTAATATTGGGAATAAAATAGTGTATGCAAACAATTTTTTCGCATTTAGAACACACGTATAATCTTAACAAACTTCGAGAATTGTCTGATATGTGTTTTCTGTGGATTTTTTAGACTGTTGGTTAGTTGTTACTGTTTGTTATTACATTTTTTGGTCAATCGTTTGAACGTTCTAGTAAGTGATGAAATTACTTTGATCCCTAAATTAGTTTTCGCATTTTTCGAGCGCGAAATCTTTGCAAACTTTGTGGACTGTCTTTTGGTGCCCGAGTAAATGCGATTTTACCCCAAATTTCTGCTCACACTCGTTGCGTGGGCAATCTTTTCAACTCTCGTGGACTGCTGTTACGTGCAAAAGCAAATTCGATTTACATACAAATTTTTTTTCGCAATGATCGCATGCAAAGTCTCGGCGATCTTCATGAACTACTTTTTGGTGGTAGAGCAAACTCACTTTATGTCTAAATTTCTTTTCACACTTGTCACAGGCAAAATCTTTACGACCTTCGTGAATGGTCTTTATGTGTACAAGCAAACTCTTTTTTTTGGCAAATTTCTTCTCGCATTTGTCGCATGCAAAATCTTTGCGACCCTCGTGGACTGTTGCTATGTGCAAAAACAAATTCGATTTACATACAAATTTTTTTTCGCAATGGTCGCATGCAAAGTCTCGGCGATCGTCATGAAGTGCCCGTTGGTGGTAGAGCAAATGCGCTTTTTGTCCAAATAACTTCTCGCACTTGTCGCAGGCAAAATTTTTGCGACCTTCGTGTACAGTCTTTTGGTGTGCGAGCAATCGCTGTTTATATCCAAATTTTTTTTCACACTTATCGCACGCAAAGTCTCTGCGACCCTCGTGGACTGTCCTACGGTGAACGAGCAAATGTTGTTTTTGCCCAAATAACTTCTCGCAGTGGTCACATGTGAAATCTCGGCGACCTTCGTGGACTGTCTTGGGGGGCATTTTTCTCCCCTTGGTATCCGGAAGCCCGGGGGTACTTTAGTTCGGGAGTTGGCTAACATCGCCTCGGCTCCTCTAAAGCCCCAGCAGCGTTTAAAGATCTTACGTTGCTTCCTCGTGCCGCGATTTTACCACCAGTTAGTCTTGTCGAAATGCCATCTTCAAACTCTTAAGAGTCTTGACCGACAAGTACGCGCTGCGGTTCGCAAGTGGTTACGGCTACCAAAAGATGTTCCCATTGGATACTTCCACGCGCGGTGTTTAGACGGGGGACTTGGAATTCCATCTTTCCGAACAGCTATTCCGGCCTTGGTTCATTCAAGGCTTTCGGATATGGCTGAGTCTTCCTGTGCCGCCGTTAGAGGTGTCCTTTCATGGGCGGCCCCTTATCGGCCAGGAGGCTCGTGGCAAGTACTGGGCTTCGCTACTTCATCAAGCGAATGATGGCAAGGAACTCTCCGATTGTGCTCGTGTTCGTGCGAGCCACTCGTGGGTAGACCGTAACAGCGCGGCCCTCTCCGGACGAGACTATGTACAATTCCATCACGTACGGGTCAATACTCTCCCAACTCGCGTTCGAACATCACGCGGCAGACGCGTAGTCGGTGGCCCGCTTATCGAGTGTCGAGCGGGCTGTGGTACTAATGAAACCGCAGCTCACGTCATTCAGGGCTGTCACCGCACTCATGGAGGCCGAATACTGCGACACGATGCAATTTGCCGTATCGCAGTCAGTAGCCTCCGGCAGTTGGGATGGAGTGTCCGGCAGGAGCCGCACTTTCATACTAGAGAAGGCTTGCGGAAGCCAGATATCGTCGCTGTAAAGGATCAGGTTGTCAAGGTGATCGATGCGCAAGTCATCAGCGCTTCATCGTCCCTTGACGACTCGCACCNAGTACATCGAACAACAATTTCAAGGATTTTTTATTGTCTTTTAACATATATAGCTTCTGCTACTCGAAACTCAATACCATGGCTTGATAAGGATACTATTCAAGGAACAATGCCATCCTGTTTCAAACCTAATTACATCAACACGAGGGTGATTATTGACTGCACCGAGTTTCCTATAGAAGTACCACGATCGATAGAAAATCGTATACACACTTACTCTCATTACAAAAAAGGGTTCACGGCTAAAGTTCTAATTGGATGTGCACCCAATGGGCTTATTACTTTCAAATCAGCAGTGGCTGGTGGGAGAAAAAGCGATTCCCAAATTACTGTCGAAAGTGGCCTTTTAGATTTGTTGGAAAGTGACGATGTAATATTAGCCGATAAGGGTTTTCCAGAAGTGAAAACTAAAATAGACGAGAGTGGGAAAAGAGTCCTGCTTGTAATGCCTCCTTTTTTAAGAGATCATGAGTTCACTGAAGAAGAATGTGCAAAGACTTACAGCTTTGCAAATGTCAGAATTCATATCGAACGAATAATGCAAAGAATAAAATTGTTCAACATTTTCAACAAGGTCCCGGCTCATTTATTCGATAAAATTGACGATATTCTTCACGTTTGTTATGTAGTATGTACTAGTAAATTTACAGCCTCCAATTATTGCTACAGAAGAGAGCTTAGAAGAAAGTTATTGTGATTAAAATCATTACATTAAAATTATCGTGATTGTATTAAGAAAATTGAACATAAAATAAAAAACAATATTTATTCACATATGTTTACTTAAATATTATGAACATGAATATATACATATAAATATATAAATATATTATTTGAAGTATGCGTATACATATTTCCATTTCATCCTGGTATTTTTTGTGCAACGGGGGTAATAAATTTTTAAAATAAAAGTGCTCAGATTGAGCAATAATGTTTTTTAAAAATTGTTCATCATAATGTACTTCGACCGTCACACTTTGACGTGGAGAATAAACAAATAGGTCACAGACGGTTAAACCGCATACGTATAATTGTACCTGACACTGTGTATAATACTTGTGAGTTACCCTTAGTTCTAAATTATTATTAACAAAAGTAAGAAACTTTACATTACATTTTTTTTTATCAAAATCAACTATGTTCTTATTTTGACAGGAGCTTGGACACTTGATCTCTACTATTTTAATGATGCAATCATCTTTGATAACAACGCCGTCCAGACTAGCACACAACCAGGGATTTTTTTCTTTAATTAAAACACCTACCGAGATGACCGTGACGTCATTCAATTTTTCATATTCCAATAATGCCGGTTTTTTATTTTTTAATCCATATCGAAGGGATGGGGTCGATATGTTCTTTGGATGTAGTATATCATTAACTAAAGACTCGGTAGCTTTCGTTGTTAAAGATTTAATATCGTGAATGTTTGTGCTTGCTGTAAGCCTATAACTTCTCACATAGTGCCATTTTTGATTTTGCGATTGTGTAATTGTTTCGCAACATATGTCTAATATTTTTTCTTCACTCAAACAAATACAATTTTTATAAAATTCGAACAAGTCCGGTGCCAAACCATTACAAGAATCGCAGCCACAATGATAAGTATCATTTTCAGCAGACATGACAAAAAAGTTTTCCACGCATGCAGCACAATCAAGTTTGTCAAGCTTAATAAACGCTCTATCTACGATATCGGAATATATCGACTTCATAAAAAATTTGACTTTGTCCCTTTGTTGAAATTTCAGCACAGATTTCAACGTACTGTTTGATGCTTTCAAATCCTCGTATGCAAAAGTAAACGCTGGAGCTTCTACCTTCTTGGTGGGCGGAAACATTTCACAAAAATTTTTTGTTCTTTTATATTTGTCAGCACCGATCTGTCGGATTGATGGCTTTCCCCACGTTTGCTCATAACTCGTCTTGGTCAAGCTTTGATTGCTGTTTATATAAACAATCAAAGCGGCAACATGCTTGCACTTGCCGCTCTTATTCGGGCACATTCACATGAGACCTTCTCTACATGTCGATTCTTGTCGATCTACATACAAATAAACAATGAAACTAACCTATGCACGAAATAAATATGAAAATTTGTTTCAAAATGTATACTTGCATATAATATGACTTTATGAGGAATCGACGAAGGTTCAGTTTGTCTTACTACTCGGGCTTCAATATGCGAGCTCAGTCCATCAGAACGGTATTCTTTGACATGGGATACGTGTTGACTTTCAACCAAACTTTCACCTTTTTTAGGACCTTGAGGATTGAAATTAATTGAGTGGGTTATTTTTTCAAATCTGGTTTGTATAACGATGTCCATATTGTATTTATTATCATAACTTATGATAAATATAAATGAAAAATACGAAAACTTTGCTTAACTCCCTATGCTGTCAATGTTAAAATACTTGTATACGAGGACGCGCTGTTGACATATTTGAGCCACGAGGTGGCGCGACATGACTTGCACCTGGCCTATTACATGGTTTAATCGTTTAATTATGTAAAAAACCTTAAAAAATTATATATTTCGATAGTTAATATTCTAGAATTTAGTTATAGTATTCATAATATCATAATCTTCACTTTTTTCGTGAAAAATTCGTTTACGATCTGTCAAATTGATTCTTATTTTGTACATCTGTTCACATATTTACAAGCGAACGACTTGACCCTACGAGCAAATCTAATGTTGGGAATAAAATAGTGTATGCAAACAATTTTTTCGCATTTAGAACACACGTATAATCTTAACAAACTTCGAGAATTGTCTGATATGTGTTTTCTGTGGATTTTTTAGACTGTTGGTTAGTTGTTACTGTTTGTTATTACATTTTTTGGTCAATCGTTTGGACGTTCTAGTAAGTGATGAAATTACTTTGATCCCTAAATTAGTTTTCGCATTTTTCGAGCGCGAAATCTTTGCAAACTTTGTGGACTGTCTTTTGGTGCCCGAGTAAATGCGATTTTACCCCAAATTTCTGCTCACACTCGTTGCGTGGGCAATCTTTTCAACTCTCGTGGACTGTTGTTACGTGCAAAAGCAAATTCGATTTACATACAAATTTTTTTTCGCAATGGTCGCATGCAAAGTCCCGGCGATCTTCATGAACTACTTTTTGGTGGTAGAGCAAACTCACTTTATGTCTAAATTTCTTTTCACACTTGTCACAGGCAAAATCTTTACGACCTTCGTGAATGGTCTTTACGTGTACAAGCAAACTCTTTTTTTTGGCAAATTTCTTCTCGCATTTGTCGCATGCAAAATCTTTGCGACCCTCGTGGACTGTTGCTATGTGCAAAAACAAATTCGATTTACATACAAATTTTTTTTCGCAATGGTCGCATGCAAAGTCTCGGCAATCGTCATGAAGTGCCCGTTGGTGGTAGAGCAAATGCGCTTTTTGTCCAAATAACTTCTCGCACTTGTCGCAGGCAAAATTTTTGCGACCTTCGTGCACAGTCTTTTGGTGTGCGAGCAATCGCTGTTTATATCCAAATTTTTTTTCACACTTATCGCACGCAAAGTCTCTGCGACCCTCGTGGACTGTCCTACGGTGAACGAGCAAATGTTGTTTTTGCCCAAATAACTTCTCGCAGTGGTCACATGTGAAATCTCGGCGACCTTCGTGGACTGTCTTTATGTGTACGAGCATACTCTTTTTTACTGAAAATTTCTTCTCGCACCTGTCACATGCAAACTTTTTGAGACGTTCATGAACTGCCGATTGATGTTGGAACAAATGTGATCTTTGCCCAAATACTTTTTCGCATTTGTCGCATGAGTAATCTTTGCGACCTTCATGGTTCGTGCTTTGGTGGTAGAGCAAATGTTGTTTTTGTCCAAATACTTTTTCGCACTTGTCGCATGCGTAATCTTTACGACCATCGTGTACTGTCCTTTGGTGGAAAAGCAAAGTCGATTTTCTTCCTTTCTTTTCGCACTTGTTGCACGCAAAATCTTTGTGACCATCGTGAACTATACTTTGGTGCCTGATTAAATCGAATTTTCTTCCGAATTTCTGCTCGCACTTGTCGCATGCGTAATCTTTGTGACCCTCGTGAACTATTTTTTGATGTTTTCTCAAATTGCTCCGATCTCCAAATTTTTTCTCACAATTATTACACACGTAATCTTTTCGACCTATCTGTACTCTCTTCAATTGATTGATCAAAAGTGATTTTTTTCTCAATATCTCCCCGCATTTATTGAATTTTAAATCTTTGCGACCTTCGTGTACTGTCTTTGATTGATTGATTAAAAGTGATTTTTTTTTTAATATCTCCCCGCACCTATTGAATTTGAAATCTTTGCCATCTTCGTGTACTGTCTTTATGTGCACGAGCAAACTCTGCTTAGTTACAAATCTCTTGGCGCACTTTTCACACAAGTAATCCCTGAAAACTTCGTGGAATATTCTTTTGTGCTTGATTACAGATGATTTATTTTCAAATTTTCTCTCGCACTTGTTGCTTGTGAAATCTTCATGAGCTTTGTGTACTAATTTTTGGTGCGTAAGCAAACTTGATTTTTTCACAAATTTCTTCTCGCAATGATCGCATGAAAAATCATTGCGGCCTTTGTGTTCTAATATTTGATGTCTACTCAAATGACTTCGGAAATCGAATTTCTCGTCACACTGATCACATACGTAATTTTTTTGTTCATTGTGAATCGTGTCTCGATGTATTATCATGCTTGATTCTAGCGTAAATGCTTCGTGGCAAATATCAGAAATGTCTTCTTTGTGATTTGAAACGACATCGTCGCGTTTTCTTGAATCATTTTGAGAGACAAGATCTTCGATTTTGTTTTCACTTTTGTCCATGTTGGTGATTAAATTAAACGTTGGATCTTTCTATTTAGTGCTACGGAAATCAAATAAGTTAAATTTATCTTCAAACTAATTTGTTAGTGCTATAAACATGATCAGTTGGTTGAGGAACGATGCCAAAATCGTTTGTTTGTATTGTTTACAATTAATTACCGGTTTATCTGTTCATATACAGTGAAACCTCCTTTACCGGACATTGATAGTTTCGAAGAATTGTCCGCTTTTGAGAGATGGCCGTTTTTCGGAGGTAGACAGAAAATGAACATAAAACTAATGATAAAAAATAAAAAATACTGTTATTATGCATTCGATTACTATATAATGAATTACAAATAAGTGTTAATAGTCAATAACTTATGAAATTGTGGATTTTTTTTTGTTTAGATGATTTTTTTAATTTTTATATATTCAACTCAATATTTCATCATGCGCTGTTCCAGAGGTGTCCGCTATTATGAGGGGCGAGTCGCATAAGAAACAATGTATTTCTGCCGGGACCGCAAGATTTGTCCGCTATTGGGAGCTGTACGCTTTTAAGGGGTATCCGTAAAGGATGTTTTCACTGTATTATCTTTACAATATTTAAACCAGTTTCAAAATCTAATAAATAAAATAGTTCTGTTCTCGCAGTATGCAAATTTTATGAATTTGGACAAAGTAAATGCTTTGCAAAAAAAACAGCTTTAACGTTGAGTATTTTATTTGTTTGGCTTCAGCCTTGTATCAATCAATTCCTACATAATGCATAAATAACTTCTTAAACTCCATGTAACTAGTGCATCTTAACTATATTGAGCTTCGATTAGTGAAACATAAAAATTACTGCCATTATTTTTCCGCCATTACGCGTAAA